ACTGTACACAAATTTTTATCATAACTGGTAAATATCAAGTGACAGGACAAAATAATCCAAACAAAATCTTAGATAATTAATCTATAGTCAACATTCTATAAATGTCTACTGAGTACCTGTTACATGCCGGAGGATGATTATAAAGGTTAACAATGCATGGGACTCATCTTCGAAAAGCCAGGAGGACAGACAAGTATAAGAGGCAATTACTTGGACAAAATATACAGTCTGCTTTTCAATGATAAGCTGGGGTAAGTAGTTCCCAATCAGTAATATAAGAATAAAGAGCTTTGAGAAATCATCAAATCAGAACTCAAAAAATAACAGCACTAAATGCAAAGAGTTAAGAAATAATTGCACCAAGAAGATTACTACAGTTCTTTAAAAGTAAAGGTTTGATCTCATCCCAACATTATTGGCACAAATCAAAAAAACAGAAAATAACAAATGTTGGAGAGGCTGTGGGGAGATTGGAACTCTTATGCACTGCTGGTGGGAATGCAAAATGGTACAATCATTTTGGAAAATGATATGGTGTCTCCTTCAAAAGCTGAAAGCAGAAATACCACATGATCCAACCATCCCACTCCTAGGAATATATCCTAAGAAATAAGGGCCATCACAGGAATAGACATATGCACACCCATGTTCATTGCAGCATTATTCACAATAGCAAAAAGATGGAAACAACCTAAGTGCCCACTGGCAGATAAATCGATAAACAAACTACGGTACATACACACATGGAATACTACACAAGGATAATGAACAATGATGAATCTGCAAAACATCTCACAACATGGATGCTGAGTGAAATAAGTCAATCACAAAAGGACAAATACTGTATGAGACCACTATTATAAAAACTCATGAAAAGGTTTACACACAGAAAGAAACAATCTTCGATGGTTATGAGGGAGGGGAGGGGTGAGGAGGGAAAAACACTAACTAGACAATAGATAAGTGGTAACTTTGGTGAAGGGTAAGACAGTACACAATACTTGGGAAGTTAGCACAACTTGTAGAAGGCAAGGTCATAGAAGCTTCATAAACACATCCAAACTCCCTGAGGGACCAAATTACTGGGTTGAGGGATGGAGACCATGGTCTCACGGGACATTTAGCTCAAGTGGCACAATATAGTTTATAAAGAAAATGTCTACAACCTACTTTGGCGAGTAGCATCTGGGTCTTAAAAGCTTTTGAGTGGTTACCTAAGATACTCCATTGGTTCTACCCCATCTGGAGCAACAGGGAATGAAGAAAACCAAAGACATGAGGGAAAGATTAGCCCAAAGGGCTAACGGACCACAACTACTACAGCTTCCACCAGACTGAGTCCAGCACTAGATGGTGCCCAGCTACCACCAAAAACTGCTCTGACAGGGATCACAATAAAGGATCCCAGACTGAGCCGAGAAAAACAAAGAACAAAATTCTAAAATCAGAAAAAAAGACCAGGCTTACTGGTCTGACAGAGACTGCAGAAACCTCGAGCGTATGGCCAACAGACACCCTTTTAACTCAGTACTGAAGTCACTCCTGAGGTTCACCCTTCAGCCAAAGATTAAACAGGTCCATAAAACAAAACAAGACTAAATGGGTACCAGCCCAAGGGCAAGGACGAGCAGGCAGGAGGGGACAGGAAAGCTGGACGAATGGAAATGGGGAACCCAAGGTTGAGAAGGAAGAGTGTTGACACATCGCGGGGTTGCAACCAATGTCACAAAGCAATATGTGTATTAATTGTTTAATAAACTAATTTGCTCCGTAAACCTTCATCTAAACCAAATAAAACAAAAAACATATAATGTTCCATATGCTTTTTGACTCAACCACTACACTTATCAAAAGAATTTTCCTACAAAAAAAAGTAAAGGTTTGTGGACAATCATGAAGTTTTATTGGGCATTTACTACATGCAAAGCACTATTCTAAGCACTTTACAGGCACTGATTTATTTAATTCTCACAACAACCCTATGAGGTAGGTCCTACTATTATTTCCATTTTATAAATCTCAAAAATGAGGCAGAGTGAGGTGAAGTAACTTGCCCAAGTTTACACATTTAAGGAATGGCAGTGCTGGGATGTCAAACTCAAGGAGTTTGTATCCAAAGCTTGTGTTATATACTTCTTCTAGCAGGAAACGAAGAAGCAGAACAAGAATTTATTCAGGAGTATTATTCAATCATATTCAATAACAAGGAGGAAAGTACCTTTAGCAGATAATAATTCATCACCTATAGAAGTTCTGTCCTTGGCCCTCCCTCCAAATTAAGTCTGCACTGGAATAGCTCATCTACTCTCCTGGCTTCAAGTCATAATCTATTTGCTGATGACTCCCAAATCTAGATTTCCAGCCCACTTTCTTCTGTGCCTTAAATCAGCACCAACAACCTAATAGATATTCCCCTTGTATGATCCAACAGCACCTCAAAATCAACAGGTTCAAAATTCAATCATTATCATCCTACTTCATTTCCACCCTCAAACCATTCCTCCTTCTGTACTCCCTTACCTCAATGACCACCTCCATCATCATCCACTTGCCCAAGTCAGGAACCTGGATGTCATCCTAGACTCCTCAATCTTCCTCAGCTTCTATATCCAATCAGTCATCAATTGCTGCCATTTCTACGTCCTAAGTATCTCTCCAATCAGTGCCTGGCTCTTCATTTCTATTGTCTCCCTTAATTTTATAACTCTACAAGGCTATCCTAATTTGCATTTTGTGTTGTTTTACACAACTGGCATCTTTTTTCTTATGGGTTTGTCCTGTCCCATCTGATAACAAATTCCATGAATGGAGAACAAACACTGTATATACGTCATAGCTAACTCCCCATGGGCACTTTACTTATCAGCATAGTGGTTTCAGAGATAAACTTTTGGTTCTATAAAAGAGAAATTAATACTGAGAATGAATGTCAAGTAATACATAAGTTCATATTACATCTTTTTTAAAATGACATTACCTTCAGAAATGAGACTCAACTACTTTACCCCCCGCAAAAAAGTAATAATTTCCTACTAAGTCTATCACAACACCCTAGGATATACTAATTATGTTAAGTGTTCAAAGACAACTATTCACTATGCTAAGTGCTTTACACAAATTATGCCATTTAAGATTCAAAACAATCCTATGAGTTGAGTACTATTATATTACCATTTTCCACATAAGGACATTAAAACTTAGATTAAATATTGGCCAAGGTTCCAAGTTTGAAAATTACAGTCAGGATTTGAACCCATGTCAGAGCCTGACACTAGAGCCCATGTTCTTAATTTTAAGCACATGCCTCCTAAAGAGAAAATGAAATTTGTTTTAAAGCTTGAAGAAAAAAAAATTAAACACAAAGCTTAAGTTAAAACGATTTTAAGTTTAAATGAAAAGCATGCCAAAGTTCAGTAAAGTAAAACTATGGAAGGTTGGGCAGGTAAGAAAGGACCTGTTTGGTATGTCTAATTATCTTAGAGAAAAAGTCACCAAACTACAAAGATTTAGAGTCACAGAAATACAACTGTGTGAAAAGTAATATATTTTAGTGTTTCCTTTTTTCTTGTTGTTGTTAGCTGCCTTCCAGTGGATCTACAACTCATGGTGACCCCATGTGTTACAGAACAGAACTGCTCCCCTAAGGTTTTCTTGGTTGTAATCTTTATGGAAGCTGATTGCCAGGCCTTTTCTTCCACGGAGCCGCTGGGGAGGTTCAAACTGCCAAACTTTAGGTCAGCAGCCTATTGCGAAGTGACACCGAGCTCCTCCTTTTTTCTTAGGACATTATAATTCACAGAAATATGGTTTTATTAAAACAGAAACTGTCTAGTGTCTTATACATTAGCATATTCCACAAAGGAATTGTACAAAACTAAGAATCCTTCATGGTAATTCAATTTTTTTTTGGGGGGGGGGGAAGGGCAGAGGGGTAGCAACTAACCAATCACAAGTAGGTAAATAGTTCGAAAACCTCAACCTTGATAACTTGCTTACTTTCAGACTCCTAAAATATGAGTCAAAGAGCCAGTATATAAAGAACATTGCCCATCATCCATCTTCCTCTGGTTCTATAAGAAACACAGGCACATATTTAAATTCACCGGCTACTAAGATCAAGCTTCAACCTACAATTCGTGAAATTCTGACCGATGGTGCAGACCACGGCAGTGCAGACCACAGGTCTAACTTTTCATTTGGGCAAAAAAAAAAAAACCAAACCCGTTGCCGTGGAGTCATTCTGACTCATAACGACCCTACAGGACAGAATAGAACCGTCCCATAGGGTTTCCAAGGCTGTAAATCTTTACGGAACCCGACTGCCACATCTTTCTCCCGCGGAGCGGATGGTGGGTTAGAACTGCCGACCTTTCGGACATTTTAAATTCACAAGCCCACTTTGAATTGGGCCCTGGGTGCAAAGCGAGTTCCTGTCAGATTTCTCAGGAAGGGTGACAGGCGTGGAAGGGCGGCTTCCCACCGGCCACAGCACGCCGAGCACCTCTCCTTTGGTTGGGATGGAGGAGGGCGGACGCCAGTACCCTCCTGGGGGCAAACGGAGGGTGGGCGGAAAAAGTGGAAGGGGCAAAACGCCGCTACGTCCCCAGGCCAGCCCGGGGGTGGGGACACAAAAGAATTTGGGAAGCGCCGGCCGGCGGCCGAGCTCCCGCAACCGCCCTTCAGTAAACCGCCGCGAAACTCCAGGCCCGGGCCGCCGATGAGCCGGCTGAGGCGGGCGCGCTGGCTTACGCGACCCTCAGCGCTCCCCTGAGAGGCGCAGCCCAGGGTGTGGGAGGAAGGCCGAGATCCGAGAGCAGCGCGAGGCCTCAGGGGCGCTCACAGCAGCCGCAAACGTCCTCTGTCTCTCAGCCCAGGCGCGGGCCAGGCCGCGGGATCCCGACGCCGGCCTCGCCACACCCACCCGCCTCGTAGGCCCGGCCAGGGAGGACTCTCCCACTCATCCTCCGCCTGCGGCGGCGAGCCCCATACCCGAGATTTACCTGCTGATCTTCTGAGCGAAGGCGCGGCGCTCCGCCATCGCTGCTGCGGCGCGGCGGCGGCGGCGGCGATCTGGGCGCGGACGGGCAGGCGCGAGCTTCGTCGTTCGCGCTCCCTCCCTCGCGGCCTCCGCCAGTCCCGGCTCCGGACCCGGGAGGCTGGGGCTGGCGGCCGGAGCCGGGAACGAGCCCTGCCGTAATGCTCCTTAGAGGCGCGCACGAAGAAAGTGGTCCTCCTCCACCGCGTCAATCCTGGCAGCATCCCGGGCTTCGGAACACAGCTGCTGCCGGCGGGGGCGTGGGGGAAGAACGGGGCGTGGAGGAACCTAGACACCAGCCCTCGCCGCCGGCAGAACCCAGAGGAAGGAGAGAGAAGCCAGAGAGGAGTTAGCGACCCTGCAAGGCAGGAAAACAAGATAATTGAACGAATAAGGGGAGCTTGGCTTTCCCGAAAAGGAAGGGAAGGAAATGGAAGATGGACTTTGCCAAGGGGGGCTGTCTGTGCTTTGCCGCCTGGGATGGCCGGGTTCGTGTTCCTGCAGTGCCCATCTCCTAGCAGCTTAAAGCACTTTTTTTTTCTGCTTGGGGTCTGGCTGGAGGAAGAATAGTTTTTCTTATAGAAAAAGAGCCAGAAAAAGCTTTTCTTCTGCAGAGGTAACAATAAGTTAACATGAGGTGCTTAGCTAGCCAGGCACTGGGTTAAGGTTTTACATGCATGATCTTACTTTAGCCTTCACAACAGCCCTTTGAGGTAGGTTCTGTTATTAACCCCATTTTGGAGAGACAGAAATGGACGCAGAGAAGCTAAGCGACTGACCCCAGGTGGCAAAGATGGTACACCCCTCATCTGATATCCAAACCCAGAACCCAGGCCTTCTCTCTGAGGACAAGTGTTTCTACGTTAAAAATACCCTTCCTGTTTTGATAGGAAGCCTAGGGGACAGTCAGTTGAAGATAATGGTGATGGAATAATTTGGAAAAGGGTAGTGAGAATGGCAGCACAACTGGAAGAATGTGATCGATGTCACTGAATTGTACATGTAGAAATTTTTGAAATGGTGTGTCTTTGGCCATCTATATTTTTACCAAAAAAAAAAAAAGCCCTCCAGGGTTGAGAAGGGAGAGTGTTGACACGTGATGGGGTTGTTGACCAATGTCATGAAACAGTATGTGTACTGACTGTTTAATGAGAAACTATTTGTTCTGTAAACCTTCATCTAAAGTACAATTTAAAAAAAAATACTCTTCCTGAGTCCATTGCTTCCCGCTTTTGAGTCTCATTTGTGCGTGTGTATGTCTCCATATATCTATACCTATGTATCTCCAGATGAGCTCTCTATGTATATGTTCAGATGAGCTCTAACATACTTTCCCATTTTGATATTCTATTAAATTATCTCTATGTTTACTCAAACTGGCCTTGCCCATAATATCCTATAAAATAGAGACCAGCAGAGATCATGTCTTACTGTTGTTGTAAAACATGTTGTAATCCCATAGTGTCTAGAATGCATATTTGCTGATAACTGAAGTTGTGGTGAAACTAAGAAAAATAGCTTGCTTTCTTATAGTGCTTGTCCAGTTAAGTATTGCAAGAATTTGATATGCGTATCTGTTTATTGTTATTATATTTATTCTCACGGTGTCGCATGGAGTATGTTGGATACTTGTGTTTCTCTCTTTTACAGTGGGAAAATCTGTAGTATGGAGCCATTAGGTCACTTGCCCAGAGTTACACTCTGAGTCAGAGATGAGAGCTTCAATTATCTGTAACTTCCTGTCTAGTGCTCTATCCACTGTGGGAAGGCTTAGTTTATTGTATAGCAATGCTCATTCTACTAACACACTGCTTTTTAAACACAGTGGAAGAAAAGTTAGTCTATTCAAAGAAGATACATAGTTAGCTTCTACCTAAGTGCAAGAGTCCAGCTAAGTGTTCTAGAGAACACAAAGCTGAACTAGGCACAGTACTGCTCTTAAGAAGTTTGAGTCCATTGGGGAAAATGAGACAGCTACTCAAAGAACTGTAAGTCATGGCTAACACTATATCCTTACATTTAAGACTCTCCAGCCTAGAAGGCCCAATCAAATTCTGTCACTTTCTTACTATGTGAGCTTAGGCAAGTTATTTAACCCTATCTCTAAAATGGGATAAATAATTGTACCTACTTGGAAGAGTTGTGAGGGTTCACTGAGTTAATTCATTAAATGTTCTTAGAACAGAGCTTGGCACACAGTAAGTACTATACATATTAGCTGCTGTTATTGTTGTTGTTGTTAGGTGCCGTCGAGTCGGTTCTGCTCATAGTGACCCTGTGTGCAACATAATGAAACACTGCCCAGTCCCACACCATCCTCACAGTCGTTGCTATGCTGGAGCCCATCGTTGCAGCCACTGTGTCAATCCATTTCATTATCATTGTTATTATTCATCCTACACTTGAGCTTGTCCTGGCTGCTTTATAGCCCTGAATATGTTGTCTGCTCTGATGCTCCCAGCCAGATGTTGAATGCCTTTATCTCTGCTCTCCAAACATCTTTTCACTACTCTGTTGGCGAACTGACCACATTTTGCATTGAATAGTTCTTTGTATACATGACTCACTACTTGCCAAACTGTCTGAAAAGGACTTTGCATGCTGTGTGTAGCTTCCTGGGAACATTTAGAGCAGCAAGCGGATATGCAAGACGAAGCTGTAAGCAGAGTAGGCAGAGTGTGGGGAAAACTCTTAGCAAGAAGAGTGGCCCCCACCTCTGGGGAAGAGCTGGCAGTCACAACCAAGTCCAATGTATGCAGGTACCCTGGCCCCTTAGGGGTCCAATCTCAGGGAAGTGTATGGAACTCAGTAATGGGAGTTAAAGTTGACTTGCTTTGGCTAACCAACATCCATTCTCCCCATGCCACCCCCACCCATCTCAATCCACCATACTTCTGTGCAGCTGATTCAGTTTCAAGGATAAGTGGGCCACCTAGGCCTGGCCAAGCAGATTCGCACATTCCCCTGGCTTCTGTGATTGGTTTAGGGATAGGCCCAATCACAGCTAAAATTACATTTGCTATCCCAAAGGCCTGCATCTGAAGAGGGCCTGCCTGAGAGTGAAGCGAATCACTGAGAAGAGGAGAGCCAAAAATAAAAAAGAAGGGTTCCTGATGACATTACTTGAGACTTAAACTATGCAGTTACAGGAACTAATAATGTATTGGAGCTTTTAGGATTTGTTTGTTTTGCTTAATCTAGGTTGAATTGAGTTTTCTGTCACTGGCAACTTAAAGAGTCTTACGTGATACAGATCTTCATTCAGTCAACCAACATTCATTAAACTCCTAAAATATTAGACCTTGAAGATACAATGGTACATAAGACATTTTTTCTGTCCTCAAAGACTTCAGAGTCTAGTTAAAGAGATAAACATACAAACAATATGTTAAGAGCTAAGACAGGAAAAATTCAGAAAGCAATTTGAGTTGTCCTAGTGTAGATACTAGACCTATGCTCTGATAGAAATTAAAACAAAAATTTTATTGAAGAAATTATTTCACTCTGCAGAATGTAGAAACACGTGGCATTCAATACAGACTGCAGCACATGTTGGGCTTTGCAGGCAGAACAGTGTGGTATTTAACAGGCAGAGTAAATAAATGCAAATGTTTTCACATCAAAGAGGTTGCAGGAAGGAAGGAGAAATTAACAAGGGGTTGTTAAACTACAGACTTTCTTAACATCAATTTCTAGCCTAACACAAATCTCTTATTCCTGATACAATTTTTAACTAAGGCAATATTTCTAAACTAAAACATATAAACATTCTTGATGTGGGGGTTTAGTGATGAATTGCAGGCTGAGTCAAACTTAGCTGGAGTCCTTGAAATGTAAAATCGACTATTAGTTAAGAAAGAGTGAAGATTAAATCAGCTCTAAATCTGAAGCCTTTTGACATGTAAATATTGCCTATAGGAAAAGGGGGAGTGAGATAGGGCCCAGGCATTCACTGAGGGAATTCCCTGAAAGCAGTTAAGACAGCAAGTTTATTTACATAAGTTAAAGCTCAAATCTCTGCACTCTGTTACAGACAGCCAAGATTTTTATAACTGTTATCTGCCTCCTTATTTTCATAAACTTAGTCTCTACCTACTTACCAATTTAAAAAGAACTAGCAGAAATACAATGGAAAAATCCCCGTGAGTGAAAATTAATTTGGGAGACAGAATGTGGGACTAAGGCCTGATATATACCTATCTTGGCTATAAAGTTATTTATAGATCCTAACTTCATTTAACATTATCAGTCTTATTTCTTACACTCCTATTGAATAAGGTGCCTTCTTGAGCCAGCTGTGTAAACATTCTTAACAGGAACTCAGTAAATCTTTATCTAGGTTAGAAATTCTGGCTTTCGTTGCTCAAGCAGTAAAACTTTGACAAAAAGCTGAATAGTTTCTTTAGAAGAGCAGAAATGAAAATCTTAGTTGAATCCAGAATGGAGTTTTAATTTAGGTCTGAAGTCATCCAACTGAGAAATGCTGGCACCTCAGTTTCTAAAATTCACATCCGCAAGAGTATATAGAAATTCTAGATAGCATCAGTTGTCAGCACCAGGTGAAGACTAGATCACCACCAGGATGTTTATTTGATATGAGGTTGTGAAAACTGGATGCAGTTTAATCCCACGTTAATTCCATGGCTTTAACCCAGTTAAAGACTGGTTGGATCTCTGGGAGCACCAGTGGTCCAGCCCATTAACTGGGATTCAGGACCCAATTTCCTCACCGATGGGAAGATACTAGCAAAGAATTACATACCAGGGACCAGGACCAGTTTGGCAAATTAGCCTCCAAACAGTGGGTTTTGAGTAAGAAAGCCTCAGGACAATTTTCTCATTAGACATATACAGTGTTCTAAAGTACCTCAAGCATAAGATTTAGGAATAAAAAGCAAAAAAAAAGAAAAAAGGTGATAAAGTCAATTAGTTTCACATTCTACCCTTTAGCAAGTTCAAGTTTCTTCCTTTTACTTTAGCACTAAGGAGGGTTATGGATGGAGCAAGACCAAGGTCCTAAGGCTATGGTACTAAAGAGTGGAGGTTTTGTGTGATAAGGGATAAAGCTCTGGCTTTGCAGAAAGAATGTGTTCTCTTTGGGGATTTTTTGGGGGAGTGTTCAATTCTTCAGGCCTGGCTCTTATGAAGTGGCACTGGATTCATGCGATAAGGTCCACATAGGGCTGCCTCCACTGGGAGGTTCTGGGAAGACT